AATTTAATGTGATCGACTGAACGAAATCGGTGGAGGTGTTATATTTGCCGTGCATTCCTCTATCCCATCTGAAAATATTCTTGTTCCAGGGACCGACTCATTTGAATTTAAATGTATGACTCATTCATCCTGCTTTGGAAATCTGTCGAAATCTCAGGCATTGTACGGGATAATAATCATTAAACTTCGTGCCTCTGTACTCGGTTTAACTTTGCAAAAGCCAATTTAAAAAGTTAAATACAGAATTTCTACAATATATGGCCTAATTATAATGGTGACATTGAATTGAGTGTCTCTCATTTTAATAACATTATTATGAAATTATTTGAAAAGTATGTTCCAATAGTAATTGTTAATAAAAGCAAAAGTATAAGTCCGTGGTTTTCGAAAGAGTTATATAAATTAATAAACAGAAAAACTCGAGCCTTTAAACATTTAAAAAAAAACCGGTTCACTTTTCGACTATTCTAAATATTCTCTATTGCGTCGACAATATTGAGTTTTTCGCGATTTTCAGCAAGTTGGTGAGCTTTTTCGCAAAATTACCCCAGACCCAAATTGTAGATCATAAAATTCTCTACAAAAAACATATAAATAATTTTTTTCCGAAGAGCCACCATTTTGGAGATATAACGGATTAAAAGTTTAAATAATTCGTAGTCGTCATAATTTGCATAAGTATGTTACGTATATACATGTCAGAGTGCCTAATAAATGAAATAGATACCGTTAGTCTTGTGCGCAACTCCGTTGTGAAAACATGTGCTTATCCTAACCTATTTCGTGCTGTTTTGAGTTTTATAACAAAAATGTCAAATTATTGTTTTATTTGTACTCATCTTTTAACTGAAGGTCAAACTGTAACTGTTAATCGTGGTATGAAGACACTGATTAATGCGAGTATTGAAAGAGATGATGGATTTTCGAAATATCTTATAAAACAAAAAAGTGTAACAATGCATGAGCAGTGTCGTAAAAATTATACACGAAAGTGTTCTATTGCTGCACTCACCAAAAGAAAACACGAAGAACAAGAAGCCAGTACATCTACAAGGTCATCAGTAAGTCCTCCTCGTACTAGATCACGTTTAAGTGATTCCGCTTTTTCTTTTAAAAAACAATGCTTATTTTGCGGCAATGAATTGAATGAAAATTTTGAGAAAAAAAAATCCCTACATCGTCGCAGTAGAATTTATGAGGTAAGTACACTTCAATTCAAAAATTCAATTTTGGAAATTGCTTGGCCTCGTTCCGATGCTATATCAAAAGCTACTGTAGCTCGAATCGAATTTGAACATGATTTAGTTGTTGCTGAAGCTAAGTATCATCAAGATTATATACCTCCTTTTTAAAACCGACCACTGGGGGTAAAGTCGGACGTCCCAAAAATGAAAGTACGAATCTGGCAATGGAGGAAATATTCACATATATTGAAAGTAGCAATGACTGTCAGTTCACTTTAAATGAATTAAGTAATGTTTCCAAAATATCTCTTTCGATAAAGTAAATATCTCGATTCTCATACATAAACTTGATCTGCTGGGCTTTCAGCCAAGATTCCTTCAATGGGTATCTTCCTATCTTTATAATAGAACACAATGAGTGATATTTGAGGATACACCTTGAGATACAATTAATTTTTCTTCAGGTGTTCCGCAAGGTAGTCATCTTGGCCCGATTCTGTTCTTGTTGTTTATTAACGATATCTCTTCAGTAATAGAATTCTCAAAAATTTTATTATACGCTGACGATGTAAAGCTTTTTAAATCATACACTTCAACTGAGGAAAGGTGTCTGTTGCAAACAGACTTAAACAATCTCAATAAATGTAAGACGATGTGCTTTTCCCGTAGATCTGTGCACCCCTCTTCTTATGTAATAAAACACCATATTCTAGAGCAAGTTTTTAACTACGTTGATTTGGCAGCTAATATGGACCCTAAGCTTAATTTCAGTCTTCATATTGATACCATGGTCTTGAAAGCAAAAGCTGTCCTCAGTTTTGTTAAACGTATATTACTAAAACACTTTATACAACTTTGGTTAGACCTATATTGGAATATGGCTCTGTGGTATGGAACCCTAGCTACCAAATCCATTCTGACAAGTTAGAGTCGGTTCAAAAACAATTTTTACTTTTCGCCTTAGCGCATTTCCGATGGGAAATTAAATTTAATATCCCGGTTCGCCTTTCGAGGCAGGTTAGACCTTTACTGCTAAAATCTTGTAGATCAAATTTTGAACTAAACGAGCCATTCCGCCGTATATGTCATGATTTTAATTCTCATTCCAGCACATTTGACTTATCTGACTCACTTTTCAAAATTAAAAAGACTTTATTGTTTTCTCTTAATAAATGAAAATGTAAGAATTTATTATATTGTAACTTTAGATCTTAGCTGTTGAAATTTTTGTTTCTGTAGCTGAACAGTTTTAGATCTCACTCTCTTGCCTTTTCTGACTCGGCTAATTCCGCACGTATGCGGATTGCGCCCCTCGCGTCGGTTGGGCGGGAGGAGGGTAATCGTTGGGTTATTATAAGAAAAATAACACTTTTCGCGCTGGTCTTTTTGGCTGATGTATTTCAAGCAATTTATTCCATGCAATAACAGCGCAATCATAATGCTTCACATTATTAATTTGTGAAGGCTTCATGGATAACATTATAAACGCGAGTGCTTTTTCATTTTTATTGTCAAACGCCGTTTTTTGTTTTGGCGTCATCTCCTCCGATTTCACTTCCCGACCACATACACCTTTCCACAAGTCGGAGTGTATTAGCATGCTTTTCATTTGCACCGGCCATGACGCGTAATTGGACCCGCTCAATTTTGCTGTTCAAAATTAGTTTTTTTTTCTTTCGATTGATATCTGCACCGACATACAGCACACTGATAATTCTGCACCAACGCACCAAATTCAGAAACGATAATATTTTATGCGCACACCGACACGCAGTTTTTGCAACTAAGGAAAACGACAACCTATTGGTTTTAAGCCGTCTTTATTGAAATTTGAAATCGGACTGAATAATAAAGTATAAAGACACAAAAGAGGAGAGGTAACAAAACCAATCTCAGTACTGAAAAAATAGTCCAGTCATTATAGTAAGTTCACCTCTGAATTCAGATACCCAGCTGTGTCTGTAAATACTTGTATATTGACACCCTAAAAGTTGTCTCAAAACCTACATATGGTAGGGTGTACGTTAAAAAATTTTTTTCATACGGTGAACCGTTTTCGAGATAGAGAGCTTAGAGCGCGCGGTCACAGCATCACTTCAGGTCAACCGGTGCCTCCGATCAAAAACGCGCCATATATAGTTGATGAACTATCGATAAATCAATGATTATAAATATTTGTCAATTTTTATTAACTATTATATTATATTTTATCATTTTTTCCTAACCTATCCACTTTTTATTCAGTATTAATTTATTTAACAACACTTACCTGCCCATGAAATTGCAGAATTGTTAATAAAAATATAGGAATTATATTTGAATTTAAACCTTATTAATATTAATAACTTCTTACATGATAAAAAAAAATTTATTAAAAAATATCATTCAATACATTTATTTTTATTAAAAGTAAAAAAATGGAATAAAGGGTACAAAAACTACAATTTATAATTTTAATCATCTTCTTCCTCTTCATCGTCGTCTTGAGACTTTTCACAGATTTCGGAGCATTATAGACTGCCAATAAGGTTTGAGTTCCACTCTCTAATAATCTCTGGGCCGAACAATTTTCTTCCTCAAATGCTGCAGCTAGTTCATCCAAATTGGTCAGTTTCTCAAAAACTTTTAAAAATGTTTTTTTTTCCTTTTTAAAAAGGAAAAATATTCCAATGAAATATGATAGAATTGCTTTGTTCTCATGGTAAAGTGCTGGTATCTGGTGACACACATCTGGTATTCGTGCGTAGTAATGTGTTGTTACTAAATATCTGTCACAGGTATAACAGAACATATTCAAAATATAAAATATATATTTAAACCTCTTAGGAAATCATAATTAAAACTACAAACTAACAAATGCGACTTTCTTTAGAACCGCAATTTTTAGGGCTTGTTCTGACCACAGATGGTGTTAAGCCTGATCCCAACAATATTTCAATTCAGGGCTTAGGATACCTAGTTTCCAAAAACGAATCAAATCCTTTCTGGGCATTATTGAATTTTATAGGAAATTTAGATAATTTGTTTTAGAATGCGATCATCAACCATTCAACTGGCTACTAACTAAATATTCGGGAAGAGACAATAGTCCTAGACTCTTAAGATATTTAATTGGATTTAGGAGAGTACAATTTTAAAATTTAATTCATGAAAGGGAAATCTAATTTCAGACAAGTATACCTATTGCTGATTTTTTAAATAGAAGTATTCGGAAAACAAGTAAGAAATTAATGAATTAGATTTTAATGAAAATAGGGAAATATCTACAGCAAGTGAATTGCGTTGCGAAGGACAATCGGTATTCTGTAACACATACGCATTGTAACCAGTGAAACGAAGAAACATTAAAACTAAATCAACAATACAGAAGTGTAAATAATAAACGAACGTACATTATTAAAATTAGAAATTTGTTGCGTTTGCTACTTTGAATTAGTTAAACGCACAAGTTTGACATTTGCTTACGCAATACAGAGGCCGACATTGCGAATTTCCAATGCGCTTATCGTCTTACATAGCAGCATGGGTAAAAAGGTGGGGCACCCTCTACAGGAATGTTGCTAATACTTTATAAATTTTATTAACAAAGCGATACAAATATTTTGGAAGTCTTCCTAATGTTGGAAAATTGATGGCATTCAATAAGTTGTATGGAGTAAAACGGGTCTCAAAATTTGAATCGTAAACGTGTCTGGGGAGAATAGCTTCATTGGACAACTTGTCAGATTGTCAACGGAATACTTTTTCGCAAAAGTTTTTGCAGCTGCGTTGAGTTCATCTTCATTCATATCATGAAACTGCCATAGAAATGAGAACGATTCGTATATGTCACTCTCTGCGGCGAATATTTGCTTCATTCCACAGATAACGCCGTCAAGTATGACGTAGAAAATGTTTCTTATGTATTCAATTTCTTCTTTACTGCAATTTTCATCAATTTCTTCATGTAGGTCGTTTCCGAGTTTTTTTTTCTGGCTGATGGTAACATCGGCTTGACATGCTTTAAATTCTGTGCAACAATTAAGAATTCATTATATATTGCTTTCCACTGATCGCGCATTCTATATTTCTAACTTCAGCGCCAATGCAAGCATTGATCTCTTTAAGAAACAATTTTCTTTCATTTATTGACTCAAGGATTTTAAACTATTTGAAGGCCATCAAAACGCACTGAAATTTGCTCATATATTTCAAAATTTCATCAGCGTTCCGGCGAGTTTATGCCGTAAGGTTGAGTTTTTGAAGTTCTTTCAATCTGGGAAGATTTTTCGCAAATGACTTGAAGTCATCGATTCTGGCAGACCACCTTGTATTAGAAAGACAGTGAAGTGAATTGGGTATTTTAGATTTTAAAATTTCTTAACGTTGAGTGCGACTTTAAAACATTTTTGAACGACACCAAAAAAAGTTATTGCTCGAGGATAGCATTCAGCTGAGTCGACTCCAGCACAATTTCCAATTCCAACTTTCCAATGCTTCGCAAAATAAAGCGGCAATAGCTTTGTCGCTTTTTTAGTGACAATCTACAAAAGTGAGAAAACGTTCTCCTATGTAGTAAACTTTTTTCAGCAGCGAGACGGATATAACGCAAAATAAATGTAGTTTGCTACGGGCTCCTTCGAGAACTCCAAATCTGGGTGAATCACCCCCTACCCTCTCGTCGGGCGAAAACGAGGAAAACTTAATAAACAGCTTTATTTTATAAAAATGAAAGTGGAGCTCTGGAATAAAGCTACCTATAAAGCCATAAAAAGTAGAGTATACAATCGTAATCTTAAAATTGTTATACATCAACTAATAAATAATTGTTAACATATCAACATATAACAGATATTAACGAAGTAACAACTATTCTTAACGATATAATGAAAAATATCGAAAATCTGGGTATACATAGTAAAGAAAGGCATTATTTAGTAATTATTCCAAAATTTAAATCAAAATTGAAGACTTTAATCGCAACTGAAAATAATAAAAAAAATGGTTCCATTTTATATAGGATGCGACGTTTACAAATGGTTATTTGGCACAATGAATCCAGGCGATAGAATTGAAATATTGGACCATTTAGCGGTGACAGATGAAAATGTTCATAATGCTATTGACGGAATAAACAAACAAATAATTATTAGCAACTCATTCAACACACCATTAAAACAGTTAAGAACGGCTGAAAAAGATGACAAAAACTTTAGACAGCGTTTGCAGAAATTATAAAACAAAACAACGAATCAAATAGTAAGGTATTATTGTATCTAGACTTAGACCATATTTGTCACGGCAAAATCCGGAACAGTTTTTTTTAGTAACCAATTTTTTCCATATTATAATTCACTAAAAATCGCGACATATAATAGGTGAGAGAGCAATACAATTTAATTCAATTCATTAATTTTTTTTTTAATTTCTAACCCCGGGACGGCCGGGACGCTTAAGTCGGAGTCCGGACTGTCCCGGCCAAACCGGGACGAATAGTCAGCTAAATTTGAATAATTAGCCAAATAGAAAAATTTAGAATAGACCAAATACAAGATAATTAAGTATTTGCGAAACACATCCTAGTATTTTATCTGCACAAGAAATAGAAGAATTTAGAATTGGTTTTATGAATTAGAAATGATTAAAGTTGGAATAATGCCATACAAAGAAAATTCAATTTTAATCACAGTAAAAATATCGAAAACTTTTTTTTTAAAATAGACCTTCAATTTATTGCTAAAGTATCAAATGATAAGTATTTAGAAATAAATGAGACCAACGAATATATAATCAGGGGTGTTGTAGAATCTGATAGTTGCCGGAATCAGAATTGAAACCGATAAAAAAATGTAGTAGGTGTCATGAATTCAGATATTATTGGTTTGACGTTCGAAACAGAAATTGTATCGGTTTTGGGAGTCACGGAAACCAATTTTATCGGTTTTGTTATCAGAAAAAAAGCAAGAGGATTTTTGCTGACAGATTTGAAATGTAAGTTAAGAAAATAATTTATATTATTGTTACGATTTAATTTATCGTTCTTTCTATAGGGGAAAACATAAGAATAAAACAAAAAATGTCATAATTATCGAGTTTATGGAAAAAATCAAAATATTTTAAGAGAATTTACAAAACGTAACAAACGTAATTTAACACCCAAATGCGTCTTTATTCAGTCGATAATGTGATATAAATCTGTAAAATAAGCATGTATACAAACATATAAATAAACTTCCTTCAGTACCGGTTGCTCATAAAAACATTGCTTCTTGCAAAGATTGAATACAGAAAACATAATTGAAATATATGTGGCGATTTTAAAGTCATTGCACTTTTGCTTGGACTACGGTTTGGTTACGCAAAATATAAAAAATACTCACTGTACAAAGAAAGTGTGGCCTAAGCGCAAATCACTCACTCCAGGCCACAAAAATGTTAAAAATGATGCTTCATACCATTCGCATAATGTTCGGCCTGATCAAAATTTTTGTAAAAGCTATGCCAAGAGATGGAAGTTAATTTGTATATCTGAAAGAGAAATTCCCTAAATTCAGCAAGGCAAAAATTAAGGAGGCTTTTAAGAAAACGTGAATGATCAGGAAAAACTCGTATAGAAATGTTTTGTGAACGTTGTCCAAAATTTTCTAGGAAAACATAAATCGTAAAATTACAGACTTAATGAAACTCTCATCTGGATTTATTTCCGGCAAATTTGGGTACTGAGTGACGAATAAGGCGTGAGGTTCCATCAGGACATTTCCGGACATTTCATTAATGGAGAAGCGTTATCAAAGGAAATGGACCGCCGGAATGTTAGCAGATAATTGTTAGAGACTTAAAAAAGACCTTCCAGGAGCCAAATATTCACGCAAATCATAAGTATTTTTTCTATTAAGCAATAATTTCTCAAAACGTAGCTAATTTTTGTACTTTTTAAGAAATACATGTTATCATGTCACAGGAAAACCTGACGTGGCAATTTTTTTTTATTCGCATATTATTGTTTAGTGGCCCTAATACTTTCAAAATTTGGTATAAGTTTTCATGTGACAAAAAAAGTTAAAATTTTGGTAACCAGTGTTATTTATATAAAAATTAGAGTCCTTATATTGGAAAATTAGGCCAAATAAGGTGAAAAACTTTTAAATAAAAAAGTACATTGTGTTTGGGACATACAAAATTAAGTTTACACCAAATTTCTAAAAAAAAGGATACAATAATAAATCAAAAACTTGCTTAGTTAAATTTTTAAATAAGTTTTTCAAAATCAACCAACTCCTGCCCTTCCTCTTTCCGACCAACTGTCCGTAAATTATTTTTCCTTTCGTTTTCGTTGTTTTAATTCTTCCGCAACGGGTTTCAACTAAGTATTATTTTTTTAATTTTTTACCAATTTCAAAGGCTTTCTGCACTAGCAATTATCTTTACAATTCAGCTAAATTTCTTATAGCATTGTCCCAGCGATTCTAGCACTGTTATCAATACGAAAGTGCCGGCAATTAGATAGTTTAGTTTATACAATTCATCCTGGCAATAAATAATGCAAGCTCCAGCACCCATATAAATGAGTAACGATGTTATCGTGTAGCCAACTTGGAAAGAAAAGCTGAAAACAATAAATTTACGTTATTTAAAATGTGCTCTATTATAGTTATTACTATTTGCCATATCAATAATAGAATTGTTTGCTTACATTTTTTTGGGTGCTTTTAATCGCCATAAAACGCTCAAGGAAGATATGACTATTACAGTGGGTAGTAGGGATGGGTCTGTTCCACGACTTACAATGCTATAAAAATACAAATTAATGGAAAATATTAATATATAATAAACCTAAAGAAAGTGGTTATCAAAAACAAATTAGGAAACAGAAAAAATGTATTGACATAGAAATAAGAAAATCCTAAATATACATTTTTGGCAACTTACGAACTAATGAACTTTAATTACTCCGGCAAAAAAATACCATTTACAAGTGGTCTTCCGATTCCTTTAAAATTTTGTAAAATTATAGTCTTATATAAGTTACATTTAACTCCAAAAGGATTTTGAATTTTTTTTAAACTGGTGGCCGCTACGCTATTATGTTGAATATGAGTGTTCGTAATATTGAATACTGAACAAAACTGTACTAATTGATTGCATTTTTTTCATATTTTTTAAATCACGGTTTTTGTAACGATAGTTTTTCTGAATGTTTCGTAATTATAATTTTTTTTTCGATTGTAATGAGTAATTTATTTTAATAAGGGCAAGCTTAATTTCAAAAATTATTAGCTGTGCTGAAATGCCGTGTGAACAAACATGACGAAAATCAAATGAATTGATACGAAGCTTTTTTTTATGATCCCTTATTATTTTAATAATTGAAATTTATGCATTTTTATGTGAAACTTTCACATTGTGTTTAAATTCGTGATTAGATTCCTCAATTCACAATAATTTATGATTACAACGCAGATATAGCATTCCTACCCCTCCTGATATATGTATAACGGTTATAAACACTTAAGATTAAATGTATCTACTAAACTGAAAATATTAATTGTTTGGTATATCACCTGCGATCCTTCGCCCAAGCAACGAAAGTCATACTGTTCAAACCAGTCATAATAGTGAGCAAGATGAGAACAGATAAGTGAAAAGAGAAATTATTCATTCCTTCACAACGTATTAAACTCATAAGACTAGTTGTATCGCTTGATATGTCTGTTGTTGTGTTTAGTCCATTTTGTTTATCATATAAGCTCCGAAATTTTGCATGCAACAACACTGCTGTTCTTAGTAACCAATTTTCTAAGTAGTCGCTGTAAGCGTTTGATATCTAAAACAAATAATAACATTTATATTTGACCATGTTTTGTTTTAAAAATATGCTTATAAATAATAAGTCAAATTAAAAACATCTATGTGAAAAGAAATTAAATAGTATCACTTTCACAAAATTTTTCTACGGTGGAGTTTTGGTTGAGGTTTGAATTTTTTTATATATTTTTTTGAAACAATTTATGTACCATATTTATGTATGTATGTTTTACACCATGCACTTCGTTCTAATTATATAACATTTTGAACAAACTTTAATACATAGGATTTAGAAAGAAACTATTATACTGTGCGTGCATACCAACAGTAAATATAAGGCACATGTTATGATAAGTGCCACTGCTCCACATGTCCTTATTGCCAGCGAAATCAGGAATGCGGCAATTAAAATTGGGAATGTGTCTGCTATGGGTAGAAGTACCGATCTAAGAAAAAACCTACAAAAATAATTTTTAAATACAAAAACTAAAGTTATATATATAGTATACCAATTTATTAGTTTTGAAAGTCCATATGCATTTAGAATGACTGCAGTCCAAACTGCAAAAACAAGTAGTATTGACAACACTATAGCAGTGCCGTGAATAATTACAGCTGGATAAATTGAAAGGCTCCGCCCACTTTCGTTATCATCATGGTGTGTTACAAATTTGCTCAATACACGACAACCTGAAAAATAGATTAAAGTAAAAGTATTAGTTTTTCGAAAATAGACAGATTATAACAAGCGAACATCATCATAATTTTATTGGTGTAAAAGTGAGATATTTCGTTCACTAGACTAGGTTTGTAGAAATAATAATTTATTAATTTGAGCTTACCGGTTATAAGATATAACGAATCGTATTGAAAATATCCATGATATGGTCGAACACCTTTCGTACTTGATTCCTCATGGAGTTTGCTTATTTGATTCTTCAGGATAACCAATATAACAGCTGTCAGATGAGACGGCAGCCAGTGGAAAAATTGTTGAGCTATCCTTGACATTGTGCCCACAATCGAAAATTTGTAACTGCAATATTATAGTAAAACATGAAATCAAATAAAAACCTTTTAAAGGTAAAGCACAAAGAACTCGATGGTAATAAGTATGTTTTGGTTGCCTTTATTATTTTGGCAAATTAAAATTATACAATTTGGAATGCCGAAAAGTACAATATATAAAAAATGTATAACACAATTGAAGAAAAACGCTGATGCAGCGACGGATGCTTTGTTGCCGGTTCGCGATCCAAACGGTAAGAAGAGCCTCTGGTTCTCGGGCAGCCAGTTTTGATCGTTGGGTGGTGTGTAGCATCCTACGTTTATAAGTATATGGAATATGCGTAGTGTGCGTTTGTTTCTTCGAGAGTGGATGTGGTGTAGTTTATTGGCATTCAGTGTTGTGCGTTGAGGGGGAGGGGCGTTGCTCATCTAGCCATCCACGCCCCCCACTAGGCGAATACTAACCTAACAACCGCTGTGGTTGCCGCAGCGTAACAACAACGCTCCCGAGGCCAGTGAAGTGGCGATATGACGCCGCGTTGATACTACATTTCGTCTCGGTCTGGATGGAGGAGGGTAAAGCATGTTATGATGCGGGATGTTGCACAGTTGGCACACCTGTGAAGCGCTTAACGTGGCCACACAGTTAAGCAGTGGGGGCAGTTGGAAAATTTTGCCATGTGGCAGCCGATGTGGGCGGCATAACGTCCGGTGTGTTTAACGTGGGTACCTGCTGACGACAGCCTTACTCCACAGCGATCAAAAGCACAGCGGATCAAATTAACAGCGCCCTGAAAACGCCAGGTATTTTTCAGTACCGATTGGAAGTATGGAATGGACACACTAACTCTCTTGGTAGGGTTCGAGGCCTATCTAAAACCTCTGCCGTACTTTGGATCCGGCACCCGGTTCCAATGCAACTCCACATTCAACTCACAAAAGATCAGTTCTTTCGGCATTCGGATATCAACCACAACCATCACGATACTCCCCGAAGGGCCAGTCCGCATGAGCAGGTTGGAGCGAACTCCAAGGGCCCCCGCTCCCCGTGGTACCAGAATTAGGTACACGGTCAGACCTCATAGCCGAAGCTACTACCAGTTGAGCTTCCATACTGCTCTAGACTGGTAACCAGAGGTTGAACCCCATAAGCACATTACACGCACACACCTTTCACACAAGAAGCTAACCCTAATTCATTCCGACTAATGGAGATCACACCGCTAACATCTATATGTTCATCAGTCCAGATTATTACCATACGCCCGCGAACCCTTATGTCCGTAAACAACGGGCACTCCGCGATTAAGTGAACCCAGTCTTCATATCGCGCCCCACGCAAACACCCCGACCTATCAGAAAGGTGCCTCTGATGCAAAAATGCATTCAGAGGCCCATTCCCCTTAAGCAAAAAACCCAGACACATCCTTTCGCCCATGGTCAACCCCAGGTATTTGACTCGCGTGACATACCTGATGCTGACCCCATTCACTCCAACAATCGGTGGACGAACTGGCGACAATCTGCCCTTAAGCAGCATTGTCACCGTTTTATCCATCGATATGTTAAGCCCCAACTATTAACCAGAATAAGAAAATCGTACGCATACGCACAACACTTACAGAGGGGTTCGAGCTGTCCAAATAGAGAGTCCATCATGAGGTTCCAAATATATGGACAGCAATGGATCCCTGCGGGCAGCCACGGACAACTCCGATCTCCACAATCTCATTCATTCCGACTAGAGAGGCCAAGCTGCTCCAGCCATTGCAACACTCGATCCCAGCATAGGCAATCAAATGCCCCCTTGAAATCAACAAATATGCCAAGGACATATTTTTTGACATTCTCCCTAGCAGCACCCTGAACGTAGAACCAAGCATCCTCTACACTGCGTCCTTTCATGAACCCATACTGCCTATCCGACCACATTAACTCATGAAGCCGTTCCACCATAACTCTTTCCAGCACTTTCCCAAGGAGACTGAAGACCGAGGATCACTTCTGATCTTATCAGGGGACGTCAGGAAAGGAATAACGCTAGCAATATACCACTCGCATGGAAAATAACCCTCCCACACGCCTCCAAGTAGTCCTCCAAGTATCTCCGTGCAAACCATCAAAACCTGGGGACCGTTTAGACCTCACCAGGCCAAAGGCGTACCCCAATTCCCCATCATCTAATGGAGGGACAGGTACCTCTTGTGCTTGGGATACCTGAACCTCGCCCCAGGAGGAACGTTCCTAACAATGCCCCCGCACACTCTCTCCACGTTGATAACATAGTGTCACCAACGCGAAGAGAGGTGATATCCTCCCTCTTACGATCTCAGCAGATCCTATAGACCTGACCCCACGGGTCGTTCCTATTTTCCGCACATAATTCCTTCACTCCTCTTCTTTAACTTTAACCAAAAATTCCTTATATTCCCTAATCGCACATATAAATTCATACCTGACTGGGACCGCCTGTCAGAATTGCACCGTCGAGCGCGTTGAAACTTTCTATTCAATCGCCTGACAGTCCTCCTCTTCGAGGTTAACTCAAGCATTCACCACTTCATTTTCCTAACCATAAAACTTTCACACTTCCTAAGTACCCTATCACTCACCCCCCATACTACCTCATATAGCCCCATACTACCTCATATTTGGATCAAATTATGATCACGCAATCCCCACCCCCGCCTTATCTGCTTCATAAGCGTCACGTCAATGTCACTCACGCCACTCAGGCTTTTAGCCACCACCCATTCACTTAATACTTCGCCTCGATTGTGGCTTTGATATCCAGGCGTATGCCGGGATACCTTACTAAACCACATCGAAGACGAGGCATTCGCATCCAGCCCTGGGATATATGGGCTACTACTTGCAAGTAGTAGTAGATTATCTATGTAGTCCAGGTAGGGCTCTAGGGTCTCGCTAAAGGCCCGTGAAAACCTTGAAACTCCGAGGAAGACCACGAACCAATGATGGCTTAAGGCTCCTGAAGTAAGGCAATGCCGCATCTCCCTCAGTCACACATCCCCCCCAACTCACTCACTACGGCATACGACCCCAGCTGGTCTACCCTTAAATGCGCAGTTGCGGCAATAGGGTGCATTGACGCAATCTTCAGCTCCGTCTTGACCGCACCTCCAACAGACATCTGATTTGACGCGACAGTCACCCACTTTGTGATCGAAACCCATACACCGGAGGCAGCCAGCAACGGGGCTATCCCCGTCGCACCCGGAAGGAGAACTACTTAATGTGGAACCTACCTGCCCCCAAGAGGGCGAACAACATTTTGTCCGCACTCTCTAGGACGACATTGGTGCTATCATCAGTGGGAAACTTTCCAGGGACGTCAGACCTCTGAGACGACGGGTTTAAGTCCTGAAGGCTCAACCGGAGTAGTTGTTCTATGAATTCTTCATAGGCGATCTCCGTAGGATCCCCCTGGACAACAACCCGAAGACCCAACTTCCGGTTGACACTCAGGGCCAACCCCACCTCCCTGAAATTTGCGTTAGTCGCCACCTTTTAACACTCTAAAACAGAGGGAGTGCGAATAACCGCCCCACCACCCTTAATCGGCCTAACCTCGTGGATCCTCACACCGAGTGAAGGACCCACTTCCTTCACGACTTAATTGGTAACTTCCTTAGAGGAAGTTGCAGGCCCCTTACTCCTGACAACGACTGACCAGGCCTCAACAGGCTTCGGCGTCACCGGTGCAATCGCGTCCAGTACAGGTGCTGGGGCCGCAGGCATTCGTGCCGATGGAGCCGGCATTGAGTTGATCGGCGGCGAGGAGTGTTGCCCACAGCTTCCTCTAAGGGCGTCAACCTGACCGCGAAGATGAACATTCTCGGTTACGACTGTCAACAGTAATGCCTCGTACTTCGAGGCAAGCTCTATCAGCCCCTTAGCGGTTCCCATCGCAAAGTTTTCAGCCCCAAAAACTATTCCGTTTAGCTCCCCAATAATTTTCTTTATGGCTGTAATGTGGCTTACCACGCGACCTCGGATAATAATAGCGCTCTCTTTAGCTGCGTCACCTCTGCCCCCACTGCCCTTGCTCGCGCTCGCCTTATTAGCGCCCTCACCATCGCGCACGAGATCCACTCACGTTCGCCCGATTTTGCGGGGTGCGCTTTTTCAGCGGTGTCATCTTTGCCGCTTTCAATAACGCTTCCGCTACCGCCCTCTTCACACCACATTTTTCCCGGTCACCCCAAACGTACCTTCCGCCGTGGCGGGACCTTACCGATGGCCCCGCCGCCTTGTCTCCCGCCTTTGTGTCCATCGTCACGGTCTATGGCCCAGACTCCTCACTGCCAGCGAGCGACTAAACCCTCCTCCTGCTCGCCACGTACGTGCAACTGAACGCGCTTAAGAAAGTGTCACAAGCACATACCCGCTCTGTAGATACAGTCCACAGCTCCATCCAAAATGGTCTACGCAAAGGTCACTCATATGATGGCGGATGGATCAAAATCCCCGTAACGGCTGCGAGTTAATCGATGTACCGCTGAACTGATCTCCAACTCTGGGACAGCCACCGATACTTGTTGAGCAATCCTGCTCAGGACTTGCTGACACTAGTCGCCAGATGTCCAACACAGCACTCCAAATAAGCAGTCCAGATGGCAAAAAAAAAAAACCGTCAGCACGGTACTAAACTGGGACTGTACAGGGAGTCGGCCAACAACAACGTGAACGACCACGTTGCGATATAACCTAAGGTAAGAAAAATATAAGTTAATAAAAAATATGCACTTACCGCTACTCAGCTCTATCACCTCTACCACGCCGAAAAATGCACAAAAACGCGAAAAATTGTGTAATTGCCCGAAAAATACACTCGCGATTTCGTAACCGGACAACAGCAAACGAAACGAGTTGTTAGCGAATGCCCGCACAAAACAAAATTCCGCAAGAGTTTATGGCAACAAATATCTACGTCAGGCAACGGTGCTTATGCTAACGCGTAAACAAATATCGCTTAAAAGGAAATTGAAAAAAATCACAACGATGCGTCCGCTCGTCTATTCGCGTCGGAATCCAAACCACGAATGATGGCCCAGTGAACATCAGCCGGGATGAGGTTCCGTTGTTGTAGCTGTAATAGTTGCGTACCACTACAAGAAGCGGTTGCAAGGGCGGTCGCCGCCGTTATTCGTGGCGCTGAAGTTGCCCCAGGGCGTGGCACATTAATGGTCGACTTCACAGTTAGCGTTGATGCTGTTGGTATATCCCGTCCATATTTATCTGTATGAAGGGGGTATTTATTATGATTACACATTTGTGATTGTGCCACGTTATATGGAACGAATGGGTCGTTATGTTCTTTATATACTCTTCCTTCCATTGGCGGATGATTATCATGATGAAGAATTTTGATTATTTCCCATCAAATTAATAAGAATATAGAACCCCGCCTAACTCAGGTATGGCCAGAGAAAATGCCCTGGAGTTAGGGCTGTGAAGTCTGAGGGATCTTGCGAGAGTGTTGTGAATGATCGTGAATTGAGAACGGCTTCAATTCGAATTAGTAATATGGTGAACTGTTCATGATTAAATTAATAGTTTCCTGCTACTTTTTTGAAGTGGGATTTAAAGTTTTTTACAGCTGATTCCCATAAATCACCCATATGGGGAGCGCTGCCTATTAATGCCTTGGGAAGCCTATTTATGTACAATCTCACTCACTTTGATTTCCGCCAAGGGGTTTTGGGGACAATATGTGTTCGAATGTGCTTGAGCGTGTGCGTGTGTGTCTTGTAGCTTTCTGTTACAGTCCTTTGTTGTGCTTATTTGATGTGATTGTTGTTGTATGCTGTTTTTTTTTTGGTTGTTGTTTAATTCGCTCCCGTTCTTGTAGTTATGTATGCATTTTTATTATTTATTGTACAATATTATAGTTGTAAATGTTTTTACACTGTTTTTTGTTGTATGTTTTATGTACATGTATTTGTGTCACTACACATTGCACTCAAATAATTCCTTTTTTTGTTGAAATTTACTTTTTTTATTTTTATGCATATGTACGAGTTATGTATAATATGAAAAGTTATATACCTATAATATGTTTTGGGCTGCACTTTTTTAAGGATATTTGTATATAAATACATATGTATATAAAATTGTATTTGTTTTTACTTTTTTATTTTATTTTAAAAACCCATAGTGCACCGCGCACTTTACTTCGGAAGTAATTATTTTAAGGGGAAGGCACAAAGCACTCGGTAGTAATATGTTTTGTTGTCTTTATTATTTTGGCAAATTAAAATTATAAAATTTGGAATGCCGAAAAGTACAATATATAAAAAAAAATTATTACGCATTCTAAGAAAAACGGCGATGCTCCAAACGATATGAAGGAACTCTGGTTCTCGGGCAGTCTGTTTTGATCGTTTAATGGTGTAATTGTGGTGTGTAGATCCTGCGTATGTAGGTACGTGGGTGGGTATATTTGTGTGTATTAGCATGTGGTGTCTTCGAGAGTGGATCGTGTTGGTGTGGTGTATTGGCGTTTAGTTTTGTGCGTTGAGAGGCGGCGTAGCTCATGTCAATAATTGAATAATCATTTATTCATTTACCAAACACTACGGGCACAGAAGTTTCATTCTGGGAGCTTTAAAAATAATATATTATTCTATTGTAGTATCCTAATGACGAGCTCGAACCAATTCAAAGGTTTATACCATATAAGCATATCGTTTTTTAAACCGTCGTTTTTTTTTTTTTTAATATTTTTACAAATAATACTTAACTCTAAACAGAACATTTTCAAAACATTTTAACATTTTCAAAACATTTTAACATTTTTTTCAAAACATTTATTACGTCATACCAGGGAAGTGTCATCCGCAAAAGTGGATGTCAATACATTATTTATTACCTGTGGGATTATCTGCTGTATATAAGATATGTAGAGTTCCTCAGATATGAAGTTAGCTACTTTAACAGTAAATTTCGAATTTTTTAAATGCTTTATGCAATTTAAAAAAGGATGTAGTTTCAATTTTATATAAAAGACCTTCATATCACACTTTATCGAATGCCTGGTCTATGTCAAGGAATGTTGGCTGAACAGTACTCTCTTTGCTCGAATACAGTTATTAAAACAGAATTTGAACGACATGAACTGTCGGATTTAGGACTTCTTTTACTACTATATTAAAACTATTTAAAGAAATCTACCGCAGCCGCAAATAAAAGCATAAAGAAGAATATAAGTTTTTTGTAGTAAAGTGACAAGCCAGTACTTTAATATATAAGTGGAGTAATTATTTATAATTGTTTATTTTCTTAATAAATAAAAATACAATATTTAATACTTTGTTTCTGAAGATTGTACCCAAGGTGAGGTTTCAATTATTTATTATAAATATTTCGTTGAATACAACAAATTATAGTATATCGCCACCGATGCTGACTTGGAAAATATCAACCAAACTGTATACAATAGTACTAGTACGTACCTTATTTGATAGCGACAAAGTGGATCCAAAAATATTTCTAAAGAAATCGGATTCATTGATGAATTATAGCCAACCGGACTAGAAACAGGAACATTCATATAAAATACTTCTGTTGAAGGATCTCTGTTTAAAGTAACATTTTGATTAGAATACTAATTTATGTATAAATATATAGATTTAAGATACCGAATAATTTGATATTTGTTAAATCCTGGTGCCCAGGGTATACACATTTTAATGATAATTGAATTCAGATCGCCCATACAAGATAACGGTACAATTCTCAATTCAATAGTTGGAAACGTTTCTTCAACACCTAAACAATGAATGGTTTTTACATTTTAATTGAATGGTTGCAATACTAGTATACAATTAAAGTAATAATAAAAGAACACACACATATTTCTTATACAAGCGCATTAATTTATTTATTAATTTTAATATATTATATAAAGTTTTGGACTTTGAAATAACAGACCTATGAACTACAAATGAAATATATGTACATATGTATAATTGCGCAAAAAGGTAGTTCTGACCATGAAAACTTCTCGTCCGCCTTTTTTAAAATTAAAAAAAGTTAAAATGAATTGGAAAAACAAAGACCATACATCAAAATTAAAGATTTCAATGATTTACATATCTAAAATCAATAAATAGAGAAAACAAGCTTAGAATAATAGAAATCAGGGTAGCGTAGGAGACCCTTCAAAGATACATATATAAATGATTAGTGTGACGACCAGAGCGATATGTCGGAACCGCGGATATCGGATCGGATAATATAGCTGTCACACAAAATGTTTTTTTATTTACTATATGCTACATAAATGCATCTGTGGAGGCTTTTATAGCTACAGCCGAAGTTAACGATTTTTCTTGTTATAAATATACAATAGTCACGTGCAGCAGATATCAAAATTCAAAGCCTACATTAGGGAACCCATACACAATTACAATGAACAAATAACAAAATTATAAACGAAAAAATAGGAACACTAAATTAATTTAAATTAAAGAAAAATAACTGACAAAATGTATTATTTCAACTCTTCATTTGTTACAGTCTAAATGTTTCAATACTTACCTTGAACTAAGAGTTTATAGTAAAGTGTTCCCTGTGAGCTTTCATTTACCAGATTTGATTTTTGAAAAGTGGACCAGCGAGGAAATTTAAAGACCACATTTCTCTCCGCGGGATTAAATATATCAACGTTATACATTTTCTGCAAATATGTTGAATACAAATATTTCATATCAACTAAAGTAATTGGATTACTGTACAACACTCGACTTAATAGTTATATAAAAATATTTGCCTTCGAAGTTAATTAAGCATATTCCAAACATCATTATTAATTATACTATGTATATCCTTAACTGTGAAAAAAAAATTTTACAAAAAATTATTTCAAAATTAGGTAAAATATGGTATATCGTTTTGAAATTTTAAAATTTGATTATCCGTTTCCATAACAAATTCATTTAAAACTGCTCTACACATTCCAAGCATTCAGAAACTTGATCTTTTGAAAATACCGAACAGGTTTACTAATTTCGTTGCAAAAACAGAAACTTAGTTTTCTAAATCGTCACACATATATTTTTGAAAGTATATTATAGTGTGATCAATATGCATACATATGTAGACACTAGAAGGTATATGTATATGTACATATGTACATATATTTACAAAAAGCTTTGTCCAAAAAAAAAAATTACAATACTAGAGGTCAAAAGTCAAAAGAATCGCGTTTTCAGCTATTTTCAGCGAAACCGTAAGTAATAAATAAATAAAATTTCCTTTCATAAAAGGTTGTAGATCATAAAATTATCTTTTAAATGTGTTATTTTAATTATGCTTTGAACATATTCACTCACTTTCAACTTGTAAAGTTTTTTGTAACTCCATAACACAGTTTCTAATCAATTTTTATATCAGTAAAACATTAAATTTAAAATTTTATATATTCACGAATCAAACTCGATAACATAGATCCGGCAGATAGAATCGATATTTAGCTCTTTAATTGTAAGTAGTTACTTATTATCCGCCCATTTGATATTCACAAATAGTTATTTCGTATGATATATTCACCTCAAAAATCTTTATGGTCTATGAAGAATTTATAGTAATATAAGGTCTAGTAAAACAAAATCAACTATTTTTTCAGCAGATGACCTTAGTAATCTGTATCTCGCGTTGTATACATACAACCGGGATATGCTATATGGCGTTCGAAAGAAAGGATTTAAAAAAAAACGTTTCATATTTTTGTGATTTCTTTACTCCAAATTGTTGGAACACGTATCAAAAGGTGAAACCCCAAGCCAGGCGGCTGAAAACAAGAATATTGGTTATGATCCTGATACTGTAACAGCCAATCACGCGCAATTTTCTTTCGCGATTCCGGCTGGATACAGCTGGATACAAAAAGAAGCTCGATGGTTGGTGCCACAGAAGTTAACGAAAAAAACTCATGAATCGAATTTCCACCTGCGAATCCATTTTGGAAGCGGATGATCGAATCGTGGTGACAAATGGTGACAAAGCCATGAATAACGGTCAGGAAGGTTTTGCTATGTCCTTGGTGTGATTGGCAAAGAATCATCTACAGACTGAGCTGCTCCCCTTCGGCCAAACTCATTATCATTATAAACAATTAAAGTAAGCAATCGACAACAAGCGGCCAGTTTAAGTCAATAGCAGTGAAATTTTGTTCCATCAGGACAACGCCATGCAACACACACCGGTAGTCTCGCCAACGCTTTCGCCTTAGCCTGATGTCAGAGTGTGAGAGAAAAATGCTATAAGATGGTGCTGCTTCTAGCTATAAATCGATGCATGTGTCTTCTTATGTAAATCGTTCAAAGTTGTCAGTGTGCGAGCGACTTCTAGAAGCCAAAGCAACATAGCAATATGTGCAGTGGTTTCTCGCTTGAACTCTCTCTACTATTATTAGTAATTAGAAATTTGTTTGCGCTCAATGTTGTAGGAAAAATAAGGTATCGAAATAAAAAAACTTTTCTTCTAAATCCATCGATCACACTGAAATCTTAAAAACTAATGCAGCAGCTTTCCTCGCTTGGCCGCTTTCACTCTGGCATAATCTTATAATCCAGAATATTATGGCGAATAATTTTACTTTTGGTGCTCGCCGACAGACCCAGTTTTCCGCATATGAGCTTTCTATAAGCTGTTTTTACTACACCTTATATTTAGACAAAGACTTCTTTAATTATTAAATGGTCAATCAAGTAAAAAATTTAATATTTAAAAATCAAACATTAACTAGAGGAATGAGTCCTTACCGGTTTGCGAGAAGCACGAGCGAAAAAACCAACATGGGTCCAATTTACGTATGTATTCTTCAAGTTGTTTATATCTAGTATTGCCACTGAACGAATTTTATTTTTAATCGATGGCAATATTTGAAAATTATAAGAAAGTGAAACTTTGTTTTGGCTAAATAGAGAGATATCATTATCATAAAGTTCAATTTTATAGTATGCTACATTCTTACCAGAAGAAATCGTTATTTAATCTAGACTTTACAGTGCATCCAAATAGAAAGTCATCAGACTCCAATTGAGTAACATCAATGCATAATTTCTAAAAAATAACATACAGTTGTAGATTCATGCCTCCATTTCCCAAACTTTTCAACAGAAGTATTTCTTTTTTTCCAAACCTCAAATTCTATCGATTTTTACTTAAGGTTGAATCTAAAACTAAATGCTTACCGTGTGCTTTTTATGTTTCCGTATTGGAATTAATTGTATAAAATTACTTCTGGGTCCTTCTTTAAATCCTTTCGAAAAGACTCTTAAAGTGTCTTCTCGCCATACACTGTTATGTCTACCTTCCTGTTCAATGTTTATTTCTTTTGATTGCATTATATTTGATTTCTATGGAATAAAATATAGTTTATTGGGTTTTATATCAAAACTTAAATACAAACCACGAAGTTAGTAAGTGCAGCCTGCTCCCGACGTATTCTATCCTTAGTAAAGTAAACGAAATTTTGCTTGTCACTGACAGAGATATCAAACATATATCTATTAATAACCTGCACCAGCTGAAGACACCAGACTGCGGACAAATGATCACAGCTTAACCAAACTTTAGGTATTGACATTGTCTTCAAAATAATTATATATACCATTAAAACCAATAATAAAAAAAAACAATAGATTGATGACACTACTAACCATTGCATGTATGTCACTATATTTTGAAATTGTAAAGCCAGCTGGAACCAGTACGTCACGATTACCACCACCAATTGTGATTATCAATACATTTTTCAAATTTTGATCTTCGTAATTTGTATGATTGTTTAACAGAAGACGACTACATGTAGCGCAACAAAAATTCGAATTTTTATTTAATTTTAAAGAGGACCGGCCCACAGATATATTTTTGTTTATACTTTTATAAAATGCATGTATTTTTTCATCAAGAATTAAAATAGGCTTATTTATAGGAGAAGATAAGGATAGTATGGTATTGATGAATTCAGAAAATTCTGGATCTCTTAAAACTGCTTGTGATACTACAGCTCCCATAGAATGACCAATTAAAATTACTTTTGCTGCTTGTTCAGTCTTTGTGTAAAGCTTCAGAACAATCTTTATACAAGTCTTTAAATATAATGTTTGCCGCTCCAAATAATCGCCATAAAGCGCTGAAAGCTCTTCGTTGTAGTCGACTGAAAATATATTAAAAAACGTTTTTACATTAAAGAAAGAATTTAAAATTCTACAATATATTATTTTGCTTCAAGCGTTTTAATTATTATCCGATATTAAATATTTACTAGTAAAATAATCCAAATGAATTCTAGTAGCACTCTCCCTGGATTTTCTCAATGCTACTGATGCCAAGGAACGTACCTAAAAACGTAAGTCAATTATAAAATAGTTAAAAATGTCAAATGACTAATACTATTATGCTTGGAACTACGCCCGAATATATTTACTTGCTTATAAGAACCTCCATTTCCTGGTACAAAAATAATGGGTGCTCCATTGAATTGATTTTTGTGCACTTCAATTGGTATACGGCCTTCATTGTAGTAATACAATCCGTAATGAGGAAATTTGACATTATCTTCAAAGTCTATTCTCTGAAAATGTTTAAATGTTTTTTTATACATATTATATAATGCAAGACAAATATGTATTAATATGTATATATAAATATACTATAATTATTTTGTTTATCAAATTATATATTAAACAAATAAAGAAGTTCTAAGTTCGGATGTTATATAATATTAAAACGTGTTGCATGTTATTGTTCGCCGAAATTCTAAATGTGTCACAATCATATTTGGCTTCAGATTAACTTATAATATAGGTCGTATACTCACTTCATTTCATTTCTGGTTTATGCTTCATCTCCCAGATATTTATATTAAAATCAATCTAACACAAATCTCTATATTTATCATATTGGTACTGTTGGCAATAGCCATAAGTTTTACTATGGAATGACATAAACAATTCGTGTTTAATCAAAGAAACGAAATTTTTTATTATAAATATATACCAGAAGGGCCGAGTATTTCATAATTTCGCCACAAGAACGATTGTTTAAACGTGCGTTAACATCATCGGCTAAGATAGAGCTTTTTCTCAGTAATGCAGCTATTTCGCCATTTTTTCAGGTTCCATGTCGCGTTTGATTTGTTAGGAATGTCTGTGTGTCGTTCATTTTTGTTGTGACTACCCCGGACAAACAACGTGACACGTAATATTTATATGGTATACATACTTAGTTGCCATAAGTTCTGTTACAAGTTCAGGCTGTTATAAAAATTAAACTACAATACATTTTATAATAAATTTATTTAATAATACATATATTACATGAGCGATGAACAAAATTGTATTCGAATTGGTCACCTTCTGCTTGCTTGTGTGAAGCCCTCAAACGCACAGATTTCTATTTGGACACTGGTCGAACCAAAGGTTTGTTCTTATTTTCCAACTCTGACCACAAACTGTAGTTCAATGGATTCAAATGTGGACTCCCAGGCGGCCAACCATCTGCAGCTATAAAATCAGAAATATTGCTTTTAAGCCACTAATGGGGATTTTTTGAGTTGTGTGTTGGAGCAGAATCTTGCAGGAAGTTCAAATGCTCTCCATCGAATAGTATTGTTTCACTACTTTACCATACCTTCTAAAACATCCTGCTGGTACACTTTTGTCTCAGCTTTAAATCCTTTTTCATAAAAGTGGATGATGACCACGTTGAACCCTTGGAGTAACATTTTTTGCATCTTTGGAAGTTTGTACGTAGATTTTGTCGTTTTGCTTAATAAAAACGTTTCCAACTGTAAAAAATTTATTATCTGTAAAAAGAATAATTTCATGGCCGTTGACCGCATGCCACTGAAAACGCCGCTTGAATCTGTTGAGCTTAATTTGCTTCAAGCGCGTTGTCAGAAGATGACCAGTTGCTCAGGGGCTTTTGTATAGAGATCATCTCGATTAAGTCTTAACATTGACTTGGTCGTTACATCTATTTCCCTTGACAAAATTTACTTTTATCTAAGGGGATTTCTAGGAATGCGTTCGCGAAAAGTTGTTATTGCTAAATTGCTTCGAACCACGCGAGGACGACCACTTTCATTTCTGTCATCAACTGCAGGCGTTTGAGAAAACCGATCGGTAAATAAACTTTCTGGAAATAATTAAGTTGTTTGAGTGAAATTTATGTCACTTGCGTTTTTTTCACACTTATACAATATAAGCAATCATTGCAATATGATTTTCGTAGCCCCCACTCCATTGTTAATAAGCGAAATCAAACTCTGAACTGATTATTATATCTGAGTGTAAACAAGTAAGCAGGACTAAGTTCGAGAGTAACCGAACATTTCATGCTTTTGCATCTTGCAAGGATCAAATCCGGGAAATACCTTGAGGTGTTGGCAAAACTTCATATTAAAAAATGTTGCGAAAGAATTCAACATTCATTATTCGACGAAATCGTGAATGAATTACGATCAAATTTGGTATTTTATTAAGTTATATTATAGATCATAGACTCAATTAGTTTTATAACTATATTTTACTCGCGAAAATTATATTAAAATTATCCCCAAATGAGATATATCTGACCTAAACTTAACTGAAGACATCACATCATCAACCCGAAGATCGCAATTGATGATGTTAGGTATAGGAGATTAAAGCCACGTTCAGCGGTTTGTTAAAATAACGGAAATTATTATATGTAATATAATTTCACATATTTTCGGCGTTAAACTAATGTATATCCAATATAAAACGTTCAGTTAAGTTTGCTAAGATATCTTTAATTTTGACCGATATATACGGTGTAAGGCCAACCGGAAATTTGAACATCTGTTAACAGGTATATAAGAGATTGACACGATTTTAACTATTTTTGGCATTATTTCGTATAAGTAATAGAAACAGATGACCTATGAGTTTCATACCTCCTCCTGAGACCTCCCATAATGTCAACAATATATATGTAAGTAGTAAAGTCAACCAGATGTTTGAAAATTCTGATATTAGTTTAATGGGGGCTAGGGTCAAAAATCTTTCTATTAAGTATATGGGGGCTAAGGAAAATATTGACTCGATTCAACCAATTTTTGAAATACAGGCATATTATTATAAGGAAAAGATTCTCTCCTAATTTGAATAATATATCTTACAAATTAACCGATATTTTCGGTAGGAAGTCAGCCACTGCCTCTGGGGTCCACATTTCCGGTATCTGCTCCGGATTCACCGGATTTGGCATGTTTCGATGAAATGGAAATCGAGGTGGCATATTTGTATCGCTTCAGAAGGAGCATATTTTGAAGGCGACAAAATAAATATTGATGAAGATTAAAAATGTTTCGTTTTATTTACAATTTCCGGAAATTTCCTGGTCTTAATATAATACCCTTCACTAATGCAACAGATTCTTTACAAGAACTTGATATTAATCGCTCAGTTTGTGTGGCAGCTATGTGCTATAGTGATCCGATTGCACCACTCTCTTTAACAATAATCCATGGCAAATTTCGTGAAGATATCTCCTTAAATATACTAATATATGCTATAACAATTCGATCTAAAGAATTTCTTCGGAGATCGCACCATTCTTTTGGGGGCATGACAACGATTTCGTTGGCGCCGCGATCTGATAGTGTGGACCGATAGAGGAGAGCCTCAGGATTAAAAAAGTGTTTGCACATACACGTCTCATACTTATAGTTTTCGAGATATTTGTATTTAAAAATCACCGTTCGATTTTATCGTTTTTAAATTAATAACACGACTAAACTTTGTATTAAAATTAAAAAAAAAAATTTGAATAAATTAACATTAATTTGAATTATAGTATAAGTTAAATTAAATTAAACAAATAAAAAATTATCAATTTTTCATCGCGTGTCAGTCTCTTAAATTTTCAACTAATTTTGTAAACCTCACTAACTTTCAAATGATTTAGTCTACAACTGAATGCTTTTAATTTTAAATATCTTTTATATAAAAATGAATCTGTCTAATGTACATAAGTGCAAATGTTCCCGCATAACTTCAGAACAAATTCGATAATTATTTTTTTATTGTGTTAGTTATTGCCAAGGCAAGGTTTGTATACAAAAATAAAAATTTTATTACGGAAGCATCAACACCTAAACCTATTAAAAAACCAACTACCAGAAAAAGTTTTTTGATTGATTGATTGTTTTCATTTGTTTTAAAATCCAAAAAATATTGTTAAGAAGCCACCAATATCAAATATCGACCGGCGTATGCTTAAAGAAAGTCGGGTGTACAGTTTTCGAAATAATGAGACGGAAGAAGAGCGATGTCAGCGTTTGGAGGCAAATAGGATGAGGATTTCTAAAGCAAGATTTACCATCAAGCGAGAGGCAACCAAACAGGCGATCAAATGTAACAATTACCTCTGAACGTTTGGCGCTTAGATATGATGCAACAGCCGATTATGCTGGTGATAAATCGGTTGATTTTGGAACAATAAATACTATTTGTCCATATTGCAATGCTTTGAGGTTTCGACAGAATTATGTTGCATGAACGGAACGGTCAAATTACCGAAACTTATGCAGCACCTGAACAACTCAATTCATTACTTTCAGGGAGTTAATATCGTTTACACGATATGAGTCAAAAGAAATATACTTTTGAGCTGCACCGAAATGTGTACTCTTTATTGAATTTCTTAAGACTAACTTGTTACATAGATCTTACTGCTATTTATACTAACTAGTATTACTTATTACTAGTTGATAGTTTCTTTACATATAACATATTGTTTGTTTAAATACATTTGCATTGTTCTTAGATAAGGTTGTTTTGTTTAATGTTGTTTTCATACATTCTGTGCATTCAGAGATAAGGTTGTTTTGATGTTTGTTTGTTTAGGATAAGTAAACGTTCCTTAACTAGGGCAAGATCCTATATCAAAGCATTTCTTGTAGAATATTAAAAGTTATAACAGTATGTTCCAAATGACATCATTTGGTGCAAATGATATTGAACAACGTGTTTTTAATCCAACTTTTAAGGTATTGATTATTCTTTAAAAAACATATTAATATACCAATCCGTGATGGTGGCAACCTTAAGCATATTAGTGAAATACATCGTTCCTATGATGCATTAGAATACCCTTTACTATTTTGCAGAGGAGAAGACGGATATCATTTTGTAATCAAGAAAATTAATCCAGTCAATGGTATGTGTGTAATCTAGACGAATATGTAAGTATGTTGTATTAAATTTATTTATTTTTCTTTTAAAGGTCAAAAAATTAACAAAAGGGTCAGCTCAATGAATTTTTATGCATACCGTTTCATGATACGTATAACCAAGATAATCACATTTTGAAATGTGGCAGTTTATCTCAACAATTTAATGTTGATATGTATGTTAAGATTGAAACAGAACGTTTAAATTATATATGTTTCAACTAGAAAAAATTACGTTCAAAAGAATATATTCATTTGCGCGATGCCATGAGCACAGATGGAAATTGAAATAATGTGGACCGACTTACTATTTTAAAAGGAACGTGGGTGGGAAGCCCAAAACACATGCATGAATATGCTCAAGATGCTATGACCCTCTGTATCATCGGCGCTCTATACAAGATAACGGGAGAACAATAACTTTGCAAGTCAAAAATAAAGCTGTAGTAGTCAACAATATTCCATATTCGGTGTTACTTTCTAAACCATTCAAAGCCCATTGTAATGTTGAGTACTGTAATTCGATCGAATTAATTAAACATGTTTGCAGGTATGGTACTTAAGGGAACGACATGGCTGTATTTGGTATTGGAGCTTCGAAAGATAATGATGAGATTTCACAATATCAGACTGAGAGATATATTAGTACCTTATGTAATAAAAAACAATAGTTTTTACACTTTTTGATTTGGGAGTTACTATGGACACTGAGCTTAATTTTAGTCTTCATATTGATACCATGTTACCAATTTTTTAAACGTTTGGCTAAATAATTTATAGATCCGTATATTACTGAAACCTATATTGGAACATGGCTCTGTTGAATGGCTAGCTATCAAATCCATTCTGACAAGTTAGAGTCTGTTCGAAAACAATTTTTACTTTTCACCTCAGGGCATTTCCGATGAGATTCTAGGTTAAGTTTACCTCCATACACTAGTCATTTAAAACTTAAAAATCCACCTACACTTACTAGTCGTAGAGAAATGCTTGGCATAATATTCTTAGTGAAAATCTTGAATGGAACAGTTGGCAGTTCTTTTTCCCTGTCTGAAATTAAATTTAATCTCCCAGTTCTCTTATTGAAGCAGTTTATACCCCCAAAATCTTGTAGATTAAATTTCAAACAAAATAAACCATTCCTCCGCTTCAAAAAAATAACCCTTATCAATCCAATACGTCATGTTCATAGTTTTTTCACGTCGAATTACTATCTGCACTGGCGGCTTCGGCCGCACTTGAAATATGTAACCCTCATCGGTCCAACACCAGATTTGCGTGCGGAATAATCTTTCTCTTTTTAGCAATTTTTTGTCGTTTGTAAAATATGTGTATGGTAACATTTATTATTTGTTTACATGCAACAATTTTGTAAATGTGTAAATCAGTCTAATTAACGAACAATTTAATTACGATTTAAAGCTATTTATGTACTGTTTATAATTAAAAAAATATATAAAATCTATTTAGTGATATTTTAGTGGATATAATATTGAATAATATAAGTGTAAGATTCATAATACATAAAAAAAAATTGTATACTTTAATTTGTTAGTTTTTGGATTTTAAATGCGAATATCTCGAAAACTATAAGTCACCTGTAGCTATAAGTGTATATATTCTTAATCGGGAAAACATCCTCAATCCGCCCATACCTATTTTTTCCCCGAACTCGGGGGATGCTATACTAAATCCCAGGCAAAAAAATAACCTTGGTCGGTCGTTTACCGGGTGTGTTCAGTTCTTTCACGTACAACTCCTTTTGGGGTTAGCGGCCTTCGGCTGCGCTTCAAAAAATTAACCCTAGTCGGTGCACACCGGGGTGTACTCTGTTCTTTCGCGTATAATTCCTTTTGCACAGGCGTCCTTCGGCGCGCTTCAAAATAAAAATAACCCACGTCGGTCCAACACAGAAAGAGTTCCGCTACTCATCACATGATTATGAATTTCATACAAGACGAAGGTAACCAATTCACTACTACTCTTGTGAAATTTCACCTCTTACTTAAGTATTTGAATTTTATGTTGTTTTTAAAGAATTTATTAAATATAATTGCATAGAGCTGAGAAAAAATCTCAATGCGCTGCGCGAGCTTGAAATTTAGTGGGATCAATTGTGTCGCTATCGTGAAGTGTTGCGTGCTATATTGCCCAATGGTAGTTCTAGCGTAAGTTGCCTCATTTTCTGCTTTAAGGTAGGAAAGACCAATAACTTTGACTCCTCTAGGTTGTATTGCCTTGCAATGTGCAGCGCATGATTGGGTATTATGCGAACGATTTTCCACATCAACATGCGCATGTCCACAGTCGCGCAGAATTTAAATGAACTTGACACACAAGTAAGCATGGCTGTGCAATGCTTAAATTAACTACTTATTATCTACTAAGTGTACTTTTTAAGTGTTTTTATATGGCACTCAACACTTTCCATTTTGCGGAGTCTAAAGGGAATCATTAATATCTTTCAGAAATCAAGAACTCTCTAACAGTATTTCTTACTGGTGGTGCACGGGACGCCGAAAAAGTTAAGAATGTACTGTGTCGTTTGGAGCTCACCACCTTGCAGAAGGTAACGGTCAACATTGCTATTTATACGCAGAGGACTCTCAACTTGGAGGATCAAGAATTCGTGAATGTCTACTATGAAATGAGGATCGAGATTTCGAAAATAGCTACTCTGAGCTGACCGATTTCAACCCAACACACATTTCGCCCTGGTTGCTGCGTATCGAATTAAAATATTCCAAGTGTTGGGCATAGAGTTGTGCGTAAATCGGTTGAGACGGAAATGAATGCTCTGCCGAATTTCTACGGCTTGTACGTGAACTATCGTCCTTTGGCCTTGTGTGAGGAAATGACAGCTTACTGAATACAAATAAGTAAATTTTCTAACTTTTCTAGATGTTATATATAATTGAGGCCATAGTTAATGCCATATATCGGCATTATAATAATATATAACTATAAATAATTTAATTATAACGGGCCAATATTGTATATGCTTATATAATATATGTATAGCTTTATTAATTGGAATTTTTTATTAAAAACTTTTTCTTCTAGTTCATTTTTGCAAAAAATTAAAAGTAGAAGATTTCTTCATCTTAACTTAAAATCGTTTTCTGGTTAGAAAATGCCATCAGCTGATACTTTAACATTTTGTTTGGTTACCTTATCATAGGTTAAATAAAATATCTGCATAGATAAAACACGAAGGCGAAATCAAACTCAAACAAATCCACAAATGATCAAACTGCTGATGAATATGATGACTGGAAAGTCAATTGGGATGATGACAATGAAACTTATTCGTAAGTAGGGCCTAGTGGTAGGACAAATACTAGTAATCACGCAGGACACGCTAACGCACTCACATTCCGCTAGCAATTACACAGAAACATTAAAAAAGTCTGGTATGTTCGGCAAAAGTTCGGATTCATAGGTATTTTATTATGCGTCAACTGCAATTTCAACATAATTCTATTGCAGACATCAAGACGATACAAGCATTTTGATTGGTTACACGAATATTGGCTCATTTCCATGCCACCGTTGCCAGATAAGAAATTTTCTGAACGTTAAGAAGAACAATTTGTGGAGCATCGACTGGTTCAATTGCAAGAATTTATAGATTATGACATGTGATTGTGTGTTCCGTCATCCGGTACTGTCACAATGGGAGGGTGGCACCATTTCTTGACCTGCAATGCAGTGATGACAAGATGTGGAAATCAAGCCAATGCAAAGCCGGAAGGGACAAATATGTGGGACTGTCTTACTGTTGGGACATATCACCGCCTGAAAAGACATTGTTGCCATCGCTTGTAAAGGATGTTTTTTAGAGGTATAAAAAAAATTGCAATAAAACAACATTTTAAATATGATTTCTGGCATATGACAGGCACGGGTGGCTCGGATGTAGTCCAATCTAGACGTCCAATTTTCGATGACTTTTTCCAACATTTGTGGCCGTATATCGGCAATAACACGGCGAATGTTGTCTTCCAAATGGTTAAGCGTTTGTGGCTTATACGCATAGACCAATAACTTTACATAACCCCACAGAAAGTAGTCTAGCGGTGTTAAATCACAAGATGCCAATTCACAGGTCCAAAGCGTGAAATTATGCGGTCACCAAACGTGTCTTTCAATAAATCGACTGTGGCACGTGCTGTGTGACATGTTGCGCTATCTTGTTGGAACCACAGCTCCTGGACATCATGGTTGTTCAATTCAAGAATAAAAAAGTTAGTAATCATGGCTCTATACCGATCACCCTTGACTGTAACGTTCTGGTCATCATCTTTTTGAAGAAGTACGGACCAAGGAACACAGAACCATTATTTTCGAAATAAAATTGCACTATTTGCAAGCGTTGTTCAGGCGTGAGTCTATTCATGATGAATTGCCAAACCAAACTGACAGCACTTGACAGCTGTTAAATCGGTCGCCATCTTGAACAGTAATGCCAACTTAAAGTTCTATACCTCGAAAAAACACCCGTTATATACTCAAATGGAAAGTTGTTCACAGTTCACACATACAATGGATATTTTGGTACGAAATCTTTTAGCATTATCTAATGGCACGGCGGAACGTTATTAAACACAATGTAAAAAAGAGTTTCAACGTATTGGTGATGACATGTCAGACCTGGAAAAGGTCTTAAATATAGACGAGAGTCGACCCCCCTTAAAAACAACATCGCTATCAGAAAGTGTTGGGCGCGTCGCTGGTATTTTCATTGGTATTGGGCAACTATTTGGTGACCAGCGTAAATTGGACTGAATACAACTTTCGGAGATCTACAGGTAATACATATTTAGTTACATATACATAAGGAATTAAATGAAGAGACCTTGTACCTAGCTGGGAGATACTAAATCGCCAATGTTTTAGTACCTTCTGACTGGTATTAGAGTTATTACTCGACGGTTATCGTGTTTGTGTTTAAAATTAAAAGCAAAAGATGACCAATGCCATATAACTGATGTGAATCTTCGCACCGATGTTATTCCTATGCTGTAATAGCTCAAATGTCCCATTTTGCAAAACAACGTGATATACCTATAGAAATATGAAACAGGCGCTTAAATCATGTGTAGTCGAGTTTTTGGTATAAAAAACCGGTGAAGAACTAATGTAGTATGACATGGTGCATTATCGTAGTTAAGGGACCAAATCATATTTTTGATGCAAATACATTTATAATTGTAGTATAAGTAATGGTTTATAAGATTGTATTGTTAGACGTACTTTACTTGTTTAAGTATAAATCTTAAGTGTTTATATTTATATTTAAACTGCACATATCTAATATATATTGGATTATTCAGGGGTGTTGTGGAATCCAAGACATATTGGCGTAGTTGTTAGTATTGCAAGCCAAATCTGATTAAATTTTCGTATTTTCAAACATATGTATGTTAAACCAATATTCGAATCAGCCGTTTACTAATGTGACAAAACTAGCAATAAATTTTAAATACTGAATAAAGTCTACTAAAGTTTTCAATGAGTTTCGCTATTTTAGCTTTTATTTTATTGGAAGAAAAAAGCAATGAAAATATCAAAAGGAATATATATTAAAACATTTGGGTGTTAGATTACGTTTATTATGTTTTGTAAATTCTCGTTAAATATCTAGATTTTTTTCATAAACTCAATAATTATGACATTTTGTGTTTTCTCTATATATATAACAAAATATATAGATCGTAACAATAATATAAATTAATTTCTCAACTAACATTTCAAATCTGTCAGCGACTATATTGTAGCTTGGTTTCTGATAACAAAACCGATACAATTTCTGTTTCCAACGTCAAACCATTAATATCTGAATACATGACACCTACTACATTTATTTATCGGTTTCAATTCAGATTCCGACAACTATCAGATTCTACAACACCCCTGATTATATACTTTTACTACTATATATATATGTATTAATATAAATTAAATATATACATATATGGTATTAATTATTTAGTTTAAGTAAACACGTTGATGAAAATAAAGTAACAGCCATGCTTGTTACTGCTAACAAATGTGTAATAAATGCGTTAACATGTTTCTATGTTAGAGGTAAGAAACTGCTAACCAAAACAATAGCTCTTAGGGTAACTGATATTGATGTTATGAATAACAAACAGCGAACCCATTCGCTCACACATGTAAATAGCAGAGGTAACACATAGCTAACATTTTAGGTAACACATGCATTGTTGCAACTAACAGACTGTTAACAGATTCGGTATCCAATATACCGTACTGCTAACCAAAATAAAAAAAATAGGATACAAATAGAAGAGGTAGCATTGAAAGAGACAACCTATGAATTCCCACAACAGCCGGTTCTGCGATACCGGAATTGACCCGGATTTTATCCGGCCAAGGGCTGTTATTTCGACGATCTAACCCTGTTTGGATCGGTAAGTTTTAGATTAAGTTTGTCGTCACTGGAGCAACGCCCAGCAGCAGGGTTGCTCCGTATCCTCCTGACCCGTGCTGGCATCGAGTCCAACCCGGGCCCCGAGGTATTCTACTGCTGCGTATGCGCTAAAAGGCTCCATCCAAATTCCACCTCGGTTAGGTGCAATACATGCAATGGATGGAGCCATCTTAAGACCTGCTCGGGCCTTAAGACACACAGGGAGTGGACCACGAGTTACGTGGCCCCATGCTGTCAACGCAATAATGCGACATCTGCCTCAACGGCCGTGCAACCTGCACCATGTTCGCGCACTGCGCTGCCACTCCAGTCGAGTGGCCAAGATAGGACCGTGGAGGTCCTATCTTGGCC